CACCGGTAACGTTACAGTTCACCGAAGCTGGAAGTATATATGTAAACATGTGCACACTTACTGGCACACGTATTCCCTGTCACCCACACAGGCATGCGCTTGTAAAAAAAGCACATGTGCACGTACACACGTCCCCCAAAATGCATATATACACAAGTAACTGCAGCTGTAACCAGAGATGAAACTCAACCACAAATCTCAAAAAAAAAAAAAGGTTTAAACTTTCCAAATGCAGTGGCATTTGGATCTAGGATTTTGGTTCAGACCCATCACTAGTTATAATGAAATGGATACCTATTTTTGCTCTGTAGACATCCCTTCATTATTCAGTGTGTAGTATATACACACTGCTGTGTATTTATGTATACACACAAGTACTGTACAATATACACATATATACGTATTTATATATATGTGCATATGCTTAGATAAATTCATATATAAATACTTATATATACATTAAAAAACCTATACCAGTGGATGGGCTTTTGCATTCTATATTCTGGCTTATGGGGTAAACAAGTATAACTCAGTTATTTTCTTTTTTCTTAAGGCTATAGCTTTATCCCCAAAAGAGTTAAAAACACAGATGTTCATCATACCATTCACTGACATAGACTATATGTTAGCACCCAATGCACAAACAGATGGTGTGATGGAGTAAAAGAGCACCTGAAAGTTGGTTTGTAGGCATCACCTGATGAAATTAGTAAATAAAATGGCAATGAAAAGGCAAGCTTTAAGTATGCAGAGTTCATTTTCCTTATTCTTTCTTCACAAACCATGTTCCCCAAAACAACAATGCACTTCACTCAGTACAACTTCTAGAACTCATGGCAAAGAACTGGAGAAAGCCAGTTGTGAATGTGCATAGCTAGAAACAGGTAAGCTCCTCACACAGCCTTTTACTGCCTGGCTGCATGAAACACGGAAAGCGCTGAACATCTGGAGAGAAGGTAATGAGGTTTTAAAGGTATACAAAGGCTTTCATAGCTACAAGTTATTGCAAGGGTTAATGCAGTAAAGAGGGTAGGATACATACAGGAATTGGGTGTTACCATCAAACAGAGGCTTCTGATGACTTGTTATAAATATATGTCTTTGCAGTTATGTAATGTAAACAGATACTATGCATATATTATACAAGCAAGGAACAAGCAATTTGCAGATATAAACAATTCTCACAATAAAATCTAGCTGCCAGGAGTTTACCAGAATTGCTTTCTAAGAAGCAGATGAAAACCAAATTCATAATGCACTTCAGGCCTCTGCACAGGATGAGGTTAATGAAAGGGGTGAATGAGTTTCTAAGAGCGTCTTTAGTTTCGGTTGAGTGGTGGTAGTGAAGTGATGATTTTAACTTGCACCCGTTTCCTATAGCAAGGCAGTTAAGCTCAACTCTTAGAGAGGAAGCTAGAATCATGGCTGGAGAAAAACAAGCAAACTTTCAGGGCTTTCTTAATAATAATAAACCTGTTACTATAGTCTGAAATTAAAACAAAAGCAAATAGGGTAATTTTGTAGTCTGTGGGAATTTACCTCAATAGATTGCATGGGGAAAGGAGGAGGCAGAAGGAGAGCGCACGCTCCTCCGAATGGAGGACTGTAAAGAAATCTGCACCTTGCCACAGCAGTATTTCCTGAGCATGCGATGTTTGTTGCTATGTCAAGAGACTGTTTTAGGTTATACTGCTGGGTGAAACAACAAAAGGGTAAAAATCTGAGGTTAGTTTGGATAAGGACCCAGATTTCAAAACATAATTTGAACTGTTGAGACTTCTCATATCTGCAAAACTCAGGAGGAACAATCATGAGAATGCAGTCTTATGATCTTGCTGGTGCTTCTGCTTCTTTTATAACACCTGCTAGGTGCTAGAAAACCCCAAACACTCTCCTTCTGTATCAAAATATTAAGTTTTGTTCACATTCAGTTTTGGAAACAAGTGGTTTGGAATTCATAATTTTATCCTAAAGCTATCATGTATTAAACATTTAATGGAGATACTTGAAACTCCAGCTAGGATTTTAAAACACAGTAATTTGACTGTCAGCCTAAAACACTCTGAGGTATTTACAGCTAAGATGTTAAAAAAAAAAAAAAATCAATGACAAATTTCAGATAATTTCCTGAAAGCACAGATATGTTGGCCATAAGCAGTCTCATTGCCTTCTTATTAGATGAACTGGCTGAACTGGAAATTCAACTTTGAACCATTTTTTTTTTCCTGCTTAACCTTGGAGAATTATTAATAATGTCTATGAGGAATATACATGAAATGCTTAGTTTACAGTTTGAGTTAAGGATTACATAGTTCTTATGGCACTCAGAATAGGCTGTCCCATAATCTTTATATCCCGTAATCTCCCTATTAATAAAACCTGGAGCAAATATTCTTTCTCCAGGCTATTAAAACAGCTTGTTTGTAATGCACCTACCAATTCATGCTGAATTATTATGCCCTAAATAAATGGACTGGAGTGGTTCTTCCTTTGCTAGAGATTAAATGATGCTCCCATTAGAAAAGATGATTTTACAACAAACTGAACTTAGAACGTGAAGCCTATGATTTTTCCTAATACTTAGTTCTCCTTTTGATTTTGGGGAGGAGAGGGTGTTCCCCCATATCCCTCTATTAAGGTATAACGATAACGAGAAATGTGTTTATGACTTGTTTAGAAGTATGTGCACAAGACACAGCTGACCTGCAGAATTCCTTTAGCTAGGTATCTTAAATGCCTCTTTACTAACCACAGCACAAGAGCACTTTTAGCAGTCGTAGAAATGATTGGAATGTGAATTGCCGTTACCTGAATTATATCAAGTTGTTAAAAGTGTGTATCTCAGTAGATGAGATCTTTTTAAAAAAAGTAAAGAGGAAATCTATGGAGGCAAACAGATCTGGCTTTCCCCTAACTCACAGTGGTTAGGCAACTCATCATACAAAGTGAGCAATATTTGTCATCTTGCAAAAAAAACCTTATGATGGTCTTTCATTTTCTGTGAAATGAAACAGCATAACTGTGCCTTGCATGACTTCCAATTCAAAAGGGGAAAATTGTGATTTTATAAAGGTGAAATCTGAATCAAATGAACATCAAAAAAAATACTGAAAATACTTTGAACTGTCTTTAAGTATTTATCCATACAACTAATAGAGTGCGTAGTATTAGGAATAATGTAAATGTTATGGAAGTACCTATGAAACCGCTTGGAAATCTGTACTAGCCTCTCACAGTTAATATACAGTACAATAAAGACTTGCAAAATTGGATCAATGCAAAGCAGCAAGTAAGATACAGGTTCATTTGGAATGTGGAGGCATACACTTGACATCAAAGGGCAAGTTTGGTGTAGAGACCTTCTTTTCACTATGCTACACTTAACAGCATTTATACCCTACAGTAAAAACAAGAAACCCCCCAAACTTCCAGAATCACTAATATTCACCATCAGACACAGCCAAACCAAGGAAGATGTATTTGCTGCCAATGAGGTCTCCAGTACATCGCAATGCTCATGGTCTTTTGTTATATTTTCTAACATATAATCATAAAAATCTACCTCCTAGTGCTCTGTCTAGTGTCAAATATTTTAAAGTTATTGAAAACTAGCCAAGATTCCCTTTTTGTTATCAGTTATTCAGAAATGAAAGCACCTTTATGCTGGTATGTGTATTTTTGAGAAACTTGTCGTAGTGCTGAGCTAAAATTTCATTTTATTTCAAAACTTAAAAATGCGTATTTTATTTTTCCAGTTAGAAGATACCTTATAATTTTCACTTCCTTTTATCAGCGACCACGATTGTGATGCAACAGGATACAGAAACTATGTCTTAGTCAATTTGTCTTGCTAAGATACAGCTATACAGTAGGTAAGTACCTCAATAAAAGTTTTGGTAGGCATTGGTTTAGCTATGCTATTTCCATAGTTCATTAAAAAAAAAAAAGGAAAAAAGAATAAAGAAAATTCTTCAAGTCAGTGTGGTTTGGTTTGAATATTCTGTTGGTCCCATACTGAACAGGCAGTGCAGAGAGCTTAACAACTTGGAGAGAGTGACGACAGAATGCCTCCGAGATTCTGTGCCACCTTGCAATAAAATATTACCCAGTGTAAATATGTTTCCTTGTGATTTAGATTATTTACTTAAGGCATCTTGTTTAGAATTTTTTCTCAGAATTTTATCTAGCATGAAACAATCAAGTTTATCAACCTCACAGAGATTTTTGCAATAGGAAGTTGGTTTTGGAGCATCTTCAGCATGAAGTGAAAGACAGCTTGCTACCAAAAGCAGAGGGCAGCTTGAAGAAAAACAAGACTCCTGTGTGGACGCTCCCCAATGTAGGTATATAATCAGGAAAACAAACAATGGAAGAGTCTGGTACTACATTCCAGTACTGGTTTGGGTTTTGTATTGTTTGTGTTTTTTTCCCCAGTGTGTGAAAGAACCTAACAAAAAGCTTCTGAGTGCAAATATATTTACAGAGTAAGGCTGCAGTTAGGGTGTGTCTTCATTGTAATTATCGTGTAACATAAATATCCATCCCTGAGAAAGGAGAAGGGGGACACAATCCAACACAGTTGATTTGTAAGTGTATGTATGCTCATGTTGTGCAATCCAGACTTACAAAACTATTTTGACACCTGAGGTGAATTAACTAGGGGTTTTTTCTTTAGATTTTCTCATTTTCTTATAAAGAATAATCAAGAGGATCTGTAAATGGTGGCAAAATGTATGAAATATTGAGACAGCAGGAGTCACTAAGTGGAACGTGTAAGTCTGTCCATGAGGTTAGAATAGCCACTTGTGTGGTTGGGTAAAGAAAATTTGACTGGAAATTGCAGTGGGAGGCAGCTATTTACTGATTTAAAAAAAAAAATAAAAAAGGGAGGGTGGGGAACTGAGGAGGGGAAGCAACAGAGTTTTTTAAATGTGTGCAACACAAACAAAACTCCACGTTAGGTATTAGAGGCAAAGTGCTGACATCCAGTGCAGGTAGGTCTATGGGGAACTAGCAGGGCTAATCGTCGGACTTGAGGCATCTGAGCGGCTGTAGTCACTGACAGATCCTGTTCTTGAGCTGCTTCCACTTCGCCTCTTGAGCATGCTTGGGTGGAAATTGGCATGGCGACGGGCATGCTTTGTCAGATGGTCGCTGCGCATGAACCGTTTCTCACAGAGAGGACAGCTGAACTTTTTTTCTCCAGTGTGAGTGCGGTAATGGCGGGCCAGCTCATCAGAGCGAGCAAACTTCTTGTTACATCCTTGCCAGTTGCATTCAAAAGGCCGTTCACCTGCAGGAAGCGTACATGGCATGATTAGAAAGCATAGCAATGTCTTCCGCGGGTTTTTTTGTAGGCAAAAGTTACAATAAAAAGGTTGGGAGCAAGGCAGATGTCACTTGGCACTAATTGGATGGGGAAAGTGTTCCTCTGTGCCGAGAGGAGGTCGCTGCAGTATTCCAACCCATTAAAAAGTTCTGTAAATCAAACTAATGATACCTTATTTGATAACTGGATCTTCAGGGATGCTAGGCTCCTGATCTTTTCATGAATTTCACGCTTCATATCTCTTGTAGTCCACTGGACTTTACTTCTGGACTTTGATAATATCTGTACTGAGTTCTACAAAATATTCACTTATTCCTCCAAGCCATCCCTATGTCTGTCTGACTCAATGTTGAAGTTCAGAAGGTGTGATGAAGTCTCTCTCTTCGGCTACTAAAAAAACAATTATGGTGAAAATGCAAAATGGCAATTTTGAGGCACTGGATGTGAGGCTCTCACCTTGTATTCTCCACAGCCGTGCCTGTGTATTCTGCATTTGCTACAAGGTACTACGGTTTCTCTTGTTCACTGCCTTAGGTCTTATTTAGAAGTGAGGCAGGGAGCACAGTATTTCAACTAGGTAAATGTTGGAGGTAGCAGCCTTCTGTCAACAGCTAACCTAAACCCCATGACTTGTTATGCTTAAGGTAGGAGCAGTGATCTCAGAGAAATAGCAGTCCGGTGACCTGCTGCACTTCTCAACTTCCCATTTCAGACATAGGAAATATCTCCAGCTGTGCTGGAGGTCTGCACCTGGGCACTGCGGTAGATGTGCAGCCTGAGAAGCTCGAGCACTGGAGGCGAGCACAGGCTGCAGGCAGAAGTAGCGTTGTTGGGTTGATGAGTATCTGGAATATATTCCCAACTTCATCACTGATGTGCTGCACAGCTTTGGGCAACTTGTACTATTTATTTCCATCCTTAGTTTCTCTGTTTGTTAAAAATGAAAACACCAAATCATAAAATGAGCTGTCTACTACTTCTGTATATTGGTTTGGTTCTTACTGTTCCTGAGTCTAAACATCACATTTTCTTTATTTGTTATTAATCTAGAACATCTTATTCTTTTGTGGATACATGGACTTAGCATTTTTTGTAGTTGTAATTTTTATAACTTCCCATTTGCATTAATCTTAATCTTTGTAATGCTGAATAGCCAGTTCAAGAGGCCCAGAGAGCTATAAAAATTCTGTGCCAAATTAAGAAATAGAAGTTCTCCATGCACTACACCAAATAGGAAATAAATAAATAAATAAATTTGCCTCCTGACAAAATGTAATACACCTTAATTAAAATTGTCTGATAGCAAAATTGACCTCAGCCAGCCTTCAATCTAAGCAGCCAACATTCTGTTTGAAATTCACAGATTTGGCCATAACATTTCTCTCCAGGGTCTACTTAGGAGGCTCCTGCTCAGAAAAAGAGATTTGTAGGTTCTTTTTCCCTGTTTATGAAGCCTCCAATATACTTCAGCCAAATCTCAAATAGTGTCTCAATGAACACACAGGCAATTCTTTTTTTAAATAGAATTTGGTTCAATAACGTGGAGAAAGCAAGTGTCCCTGATGTTTCCTTGATGATTTAGGAAAAAGACCAAGGCTCATTAGACCAATTGTTCTCAAGCACGTTTTGTGGATTTCATTAATTACACCTACAACTACAATGCATAATGCAATGGTTCTATCTGTACACAGCTGAGATTCTCACATGGAGAACCACGAACACCACCACCTGCTAAGTGATATGCTAAGATGAACAGGACTTCTTTCAGTTGGTTTCCCCTGAACTAAAGCCTAAAAAACTTAGGGCCTCACAAACTTTTTTAAGAGTAAAACCAACAACAACTGGTTTAATGGATACAGTTTTGTTGCTTAGAACACTCCATGCAAATCCAATGTCCTCCTCAGCATTCTCCTGCAAACTGTCAGTCTGCTGACAGAAATGTGAAACAAATGGGAGACAAATACATTTTGGCTGTGTTTGTCATGTGTCCAGTCACCTGTTGTTAGATATGCTCCTGCCTATGGTGGGGCAAGCCGGTCATCCTTGTTGGGTGACCAGATTCGTTAGTCTTCGCCGTATGTTTTAGTCATACAACAGATGTACTTCTAGGAGGACTTTGGGGCCCTTGGGAAGAAGAGCAATGAGATATGGTCTGACAGCTGGATCTGGCCTGCAGAATCAAAGTTTCTCATCCCTGAGCTATGGCATCATTTTTTGGTAAGGCAATGGCCTTTGGATGTTTCTGTTGCCCAAGTTAATATTCTCTGTGTTTGTTTTCATTACAAATGGTGCCAGCAAATGTTCCTCACTAGAAGGACTGCTCCATGAAATTACTGCTTTCAGACAAGGAAGGCAAGAGTTAGCACGCAATGTTTTGCTTCTGCTGTTGACAACACCATGCAGCACAAAGAAAATTATACCTTTCTGCTGATTAGTTAGCATGGCATCAGTTGCTCTTTTCTATGTCTAGCATTTGGTAGCCAGAATTAGGCAGGACAGTCCAGTTCCTAATGAGAGAAGAGGTTCTGGAGCCAGATTGTGTAAGATCTGTAGTATTATCCAGCACTAAAAGGAAGGTGATGAAATTATCTCCCCCTCTCCTCACTGCACATCAGATCTAGATGAGAACGTCCAGGTTCCTACTCACCTGCCTGAACTGATGATGTTGATGACAGTGGTGATGATTTGGGTGCTAAGCCAAAGCAAATGTGGCCTTTCTTCCACTATTTCTCTACTGTCCCCTGTTCTCCTTCCTAGGAACTATTTTTTTTCCCCACAGCCCTCTCTAGTCTTGATTTGATATCTTCTTGGTAGCTGCCCTTAAGTTTCTTGGCCAAGTGGTTTTCCCCTCCATGCACTCTCTGACAGCTGGCATCACTCTAGTAGTGGTAGTAAGTTCTCTAGAGTGCTTCCCAGCTTTGAGGTTTAGCAATACCTCCTCAAAGAAAAGCTGTATTGTGAGGAAATGCTGGATGCCTTGTGTGAAGATACGAGCATCATTATTGTTCATAAAAAATTAGTACACAGTCTGGAACAAAGTTGCTGCGGGGTATTAATTAAGACAAGACCTAGCTGCTGCTCCAAAACCACACGCGGAAATTCAGTCTGTCATCAGTCTCATCTCTCAAACAGAAGGGATGTGGTTTTCCGTGCAGGTAAGTTATATAAATGTCCTTTTACCAGCAGTAAAGCAATCAACAGAATGAGAGATTATATGAATTGATTGCCTAATCTCATTAGGGAACATGCAGCCACAGTACAACTTTCTTGCATAAGCAGTAACCATGGACATGTTGTACTCAACAAACAGCTTTCACCATTACAGTGGCTGTATGCAACACAATGAAGATTTTGATCTCCATCTTAGGCAATGCTGAAGTTAGAATTTTACCTTTATACAATGACTGCAGAATTTGTTTCTGTAAGTTAATGTGGGAATGTTATCAAATATGTTAAATACAGCAGGAAACATGTCAAGCATGTGAATGTGTATACCGAGAGTCTTAACACTATGCCTTGGCAGTGGCAGTATTTTTGTGTATTATGAACATTACTAGCAGGTCTCAGAGAGGTAAGTCTCCAAAAGAGAAAGATTCTTGAAAATAAAGGAATCAAAATGCAGCTCAGTCTCTTTACTCTTCAGAGAGGCAGGCAAGAGATGCCTTTAAAAGATAAGGAATATTGTAATTTATTCTTTTTTTTTACAATTTTAAATAGGTTTGGATTTCTGTGTTCCAAATCCCACTAAACTGTAACTTTTCTAGTTCCTCTGCCAGAGCACATGACATCACATAACTTGTGTTTAAAGTTACACAAGCTGATGGAAAAACATCACATTTGAGAATTAAATTCAACTGATCTTAACTGACAGTTACACAAGCAAGAACATTTTTGGCTTCTTCCTGAACTCCACCCAGTCCAAAGGAAAAAAAAAATAAATGTGTAAAGCTGCATTAAGAAACCTGCGGAGTTCACAGAATAAAAGTACATGAGATTTGCAGGTGCACTGAGGGATTATGGGAAACAAACTACAGAGATGGTGGAACCAGATCTGATGTCTGCTGAGCTTGATGTGTACCATGCTTTTAGTGCACTCTTGACTTTACCCCAATCCACATATAGTTTTAAGGAATCCTTTCCTATATAGTGACACTCCTGTACAAACCTCCTGTAATCTGCTTCCTGTTTCACCAACTCATCTGTATGATATCCAGCATTTGAATAGCAATTAAAAATTATACTAAGTACTGTGTAGGCCTAAACATGCTTAAAAACCTACTAATGACTGAAATGCCAAAACCAGGTTGAGACACCTGTGATACCAATCATATTCAGAATTACATTGTGAAGATTAGGTAATCATATCTGAACAATTTGAAATATGATATACACTGCCCTACAGATTAGAGTATTACTAAGTCAAACTACGTATTGGGGGCTATTTTTTTCAATTTAACTCATGTAGTAGCTCTGTACGTTGTGTTAGTATCTTCAAGCATATGCCAAAGCCATGCAGTAACAAAGGAATTTGTATCCTGGGAATTCCATGAGTGCCTGCAAAACCAGAAATGGTAAGCCAGAAACAATTTTCTGTAATCTTTAATCTGTTCTGCTGCTTCGCAGAACAGCATTGTATGTTGTTATGAAAACAGATTAGAAACCTGAATATGCCACTATGTACTATTCTTATATTTCTACATTTTCATATACATAATTAAGGGTATATTTGGAAACACGTATCAGCAGGCTGGGTGGGGAGGATGAGGAGGAGACAGTTAAATGCAGATGTGACTGAAGCAGCCTTCCTTCAAGAGAGGAAATGCTATCCTGGGAAAAAATCATTCAGCCAAGCAGACTATGTTGCTTGAGACTGGCTGGTATTAAAAAAAAAAAAAAAAAAAAAAAGAGAGAGAGAGAGAAAAGGTCATCCTTCAATAGTACTGATACGTATTTGTGAATATTTT